TAGTCACCATTTTCTAACTTATGAGAATGCAATTTGGTGACATTCCAAATGCCTTAAGTCTTGGAATATTATTACAATCATCTTTTGTGACTAGAATATGGTTAGAACTGGAATGCTTCACCTTTCCACTTTCTGACGTTTGCTCTGTATAATTTATATATTTTANGTGCTGCTTCTGCTAAAGAAATCCTCTTTACAAAAATTCCCCCTTGCTTCCCAATTCGTTGTACCATCTACCCAGATCTTAGCTAACCTATTTTGGAATTTAGGTATTGTCTTCTGTCGACTCCCACTAAAATTTCACCTCTATTTTTTCTCGGCACCTCATTCAAAACTTCTAATTCCACATTGTGTTACATAGTAGTCACCATTTTCTAACTTATGAGAATGCAATTTGGTGACATTCCAAATGCCTTAAGTCTTGGAATATTATTACAATCATCTTTTGTGACTAGAATATGGTTAGAACTGGAATGCTTCACCTTTCCACTTTCTGACGTTTGCTCTGTATAATTTATATATTTTATTGTTTGGGTTTTTTTAGTGATATTGGGTTATAATGCACACATCCTTTGAGTCAAGATGTTATGAATAGTATGATCCATGTGGGGATTTTCCTGTACATTTTAGGGTTGATCTTATACATAAGGCTTCAAGAGTCCACAAGAAAGAAAGAAGGTTACTTGTTGAGATCTATGAAGAAGACAATCTGCTTCTCTTTTAAAAAGGCCACCATGATTACTATAAAATGAGCATCACTATAATCACAATAGTGAACTAAACCAAGACAGAATAAGGAAATATGCAACCATAGGGAAGAAGTTTATTAGCCTTATCAACCCTTTGTAAAATGTTTAGTCCGTGAAATGTGTTGAGATATCACATTGCCTGTACACATGATTCTGGAGGACATTATGAACACTAGGATTTTGCAGGCCAGGCTGGCTTCTAAAGTGACTACACTATCCAGAGAACCAACAGCTAATAAGAGCACTCTGGTATTGTACTGCTAGGAATGGTAAGTTCTCATGGACCTGGGAGGATAGTAAATAAATTGGGGATATTGGGATCGGAGAAGAGGTGTCCCGTGTCATCACATCAACAAGACATGTCCTTTGTGGTCCAAAACTGTACTTCCCATTTTCCTGATATACTATAAAATGTATCTATTTTATTTGTTATCCATCTCTCCCACTAAAATATAAGGTAAGTACCTTTGTTTTGCTCTCTGTTGTATCCTCTACGCACCTAATTCATGAAAGATTTCTATAACAAATGAGCTAAGAAAACAGGATGAAAGTACGGAAAGGCAGAATTTTGGCTCAACCCAAAAAGACTTTTCTAATTATGTATATTGTTGACAGGCCTGATGGTCTTCACCAGGAAGTGGCACCTTCCCTAGAGCTCCAGATGGAACCAGTTGGGCTGGGATGTTTGGTGAGATGACACAGTGGAGTCACATCCAGCCTTGTGCTTCTAAAGCCCAGTCTTTACCAAAGAATTTGCAATGGAAGGAACTCTGGACAATCACACTGTAGAAACAGAAAGTAAATGACTTGACAACTAATTGACCTCGGGGTACAAGGGGAGGGTAAGTGGTCAGAGATGATAATGAGCCTCCCAACCTAGGGATATTGACGTCATTGAAAGGAAAACAATGTGAATAGAATTGCTGATTTGTGAGCAAACTTTAGGCAATGATTAAGAATTTCGAGTTCAGTGAATTAGTGGACCACACAGGAGATATCCAGAAGGTAATTACAGTCAAGCAGATACGGACTTTGGGAGATGCTGAGGCATGTCATGTTGTTTGTCAGAATAATCCACACCCCTCTCTACAGTAAGGTATCTGATGATGATGCTTCAAAGGTGCCATCGGAGAATAGTCCATTTAGCTGTATAATTTCACTTAATTATGTAGAATGTAGGTATTATAGCACCATTTTCAGTTGAGAACAGTGGCTCAGAGTGACTACTGCTTATAAGGGGCAGAGCTCTAATGTGAAGAATCCTTGTCTTCAGCGTCTGAGTCTGAAGCTTTCTCTAGAGTTCTGCTTCAGTGAGTTGTGAGTCATCAGAATGAAGCTCCTCCTTACCGTGGGATTGACTATCCAGCTGCACGTTAGCAGGGAGAGGGCCCATCACTTGCCCTTGACTCAAGTGTGGAAAACCCCACTCCCCCAATTCCAGTTCCAGTGCTTACCAGCTGCTGCCAGAGAACCTCACAGCAAAACCTCGAGTTAACAATGGTTGGATCAGCCAAACGTTCCTGAATGAACTGGTACAACCTGCTCCTCAATATAAGGCTATCAAAGAAATGGGCGCTTCCTACTCCCCCCCCCCCCCCCCCCAGCTAAAGCAGCCAATGGGTAGTTAAGAGCAGTGGCTTGGGATCTGGGAGAAAAATGAACTCAACAGGGAACCATGAATAAGCTGTTAAAGCTAAGTGGAAATGGGAAGTGGAGGGAATTTGGAGAGGCATTAGCGGGCATTGAGAAAACGTGGAGTGAACGTTGTTGGAGTGTGGTTTCAGGAAAAGGAGCATTTGCCAGCTGCAGTGTTACGGCGCCCCTTGTCATACACTGGATCCACTCCAGTGGACAGGGAAGAAGGGAGCGACCACAGGAATATGAGGCGGGTGGCGATGAACTAGGCGTGTTTGGGAAAGGAATTTTCTGTCTTGAATAGGCGACAGCACTACCTGCTGTAGTTCCACAGAGTTTTGTGGGAAAGCATTTCTTTGCTATACAAGAAAGGCCAGGCAGTAGATGCCTGGCACCTACAGAAGGTAGAGAATGGGGCAAATTTATTTAAGAGAACTGTGCCTTGTTTTGGAAAACTGAAGAAATATGAATTCAAGGGTTTGTGGTATTTTTTCACCTGCAATTTTTGGAACTATAATTCAGCACTCCTGGATTAGGTCATGCTCTATTAAACTAAAAATCAAAGCCTTCCTATGGGGAAAGTCTCGATGTTACCGCTGAAAGAGGTGACAGCCGCATTACTGCCATCAGAAATAATTTATTAACTGTGTCTGTGCAAAGTACTCTGGTAGGCACCAAACCCCAGGGGTTTCCTGTCTCAATGCATCCTCTGCTCTCTGCAGTCTTTTCAGTGTATCGTTCAGTGCTCTCCACCTGTGAATAAAATGGATACCTTGAAAACTTCATCTTTGTGGAGACTATTACAGGACAGTCGAATGCTGGCTTCCTCATGCACGTCAATCAGACAGTGCTGGGGAGGTGCACTGCGAGGTTGCCACTCTCGACTTCTCATTCTCGGAGCTTGTAAATAAAAACACCTCCTCTTCGGTTCCCACGTTAGCCCAGGAAATCTGGGGAGAGTTGTCAAGCTAGGTTTTGCACCATCAGCACACACAAAGCTGATACCTGCTCTTTAACCCTTCCATTCTCTCTACACCGCCCCGTAGCCCCGGCAGGTGCCACACTGCACCTGACATACAGGTACACAGGTGCCTCCCTACCCAAGGGTAGAAACCGGCGACGGAATTTGACATACCAACCAGAATTGTTTCACATTTTACCCCTCTCGATCACTTGCCTTGCGGGGCGGGTACCTGCGCGTACATGTGCATTTAACGACAACACTTTTTAAAATTTTTTTAGAGGTAAGTTACCATCAGTGTCTTGGGGATCTGGTAGGTGTGACTGGACAGAGGTCGTCTGCTTCGCCAGCATCTCTCAGGAGCTCGAGGCAGAGGTGGCTGTCCATGCAGCGGCAGCGCTGTCGGGCACCCGGCCACCCGCACAGCCCCGCTCCCTCGCCCGCAGCTCCAGTCTCCGACCGCACTGGGTCCGCACAGGAGGGAGACGGGCTGGCAGTCGGTCGGGAGCTGCTTTGCCACACACCGCCAAGCGGGGTTTGCTCGGATCATTTATTTATCTTGCGCGCATTAAGGACCCCCCTCCCCGGCTGCGGTGGGAGGCGCCACCCTGCCCGAATCGCAGCCCGCCACGGCGGGTCCGCACCCGCTCCG